TCAAAATTAATTCACATTAAAATACTTGTTATCTAAAATATTATTATATATTGAAAAACTCATTTCATCTGGCCAGAATGTGAGTCACTTTTCTTGATATTTTAAACACAAAAAATTTATAAAAAAAATTAAAAAAAAGATTTAATATGATTAGTATATAGATCACAGTTTTTTTTAAAAATCTGCGATAATTTGTTAATTTTCATAAATCTGCTAAATCTGCGGGTTTCTGCTTAAAGCAGGAGATCATTATTTCTGATTATATATTTTTAATACAATTATTTTACTATTTTTATTATAATATGTGCATATGATTCTAAATTATATATTGTTAATACAGGAATTTAATTAAAACTTATGCTGAATTAAATAAATTTAATGTTAACATAAGCATACGATTTTGAATTATAATTTTTAACACAGGAATTTAATGCTATTTCATTAGAACATATGTAATTAAATATTTTAAAATTGACATCTCTTAAAAGCTAAAAATATATATAAATCAATAAAAAATACAAATTATGTTCTCATTGCATATATTAAATAGTGCAATACATGCGGTACTAATTTTATGATGGGAAATCATATTACTACGTAAGATTTCGTATGATCCCATAACCCTACGTAGAATTTCACCGTAATGTTTCATAATCTTACGATACCATAACCCTATGTAAGATTTTAACCGTAATATTATGTAAAAAATATGACCTGTAACTCTACGTAGGATTTCACTGTAATGTTTCATAAATCTTACGATACTGTAAAATTTTGACTGTAATAATACGTAAAAAATACGACCTGTAACCCTACATAGAATTTCACCGTAATGTTTTGTAAATCTTACAAACTCGTAAACTCACGTAATTTTATAATGTAATACTCCAAAATATTATGAAAATCATAAATCTACAGAATATTACGTCGTATTTAAGTTCCAGATGATGATAAGGCGTCAGCATTCTCATGATTTTTTTCCTTTTTTTGTATTTTACTTTATAAGAATATTCTTGCAAGGTAAGTCTCTATCTCATGATTCGTTTGTTTTCAATAACCTTAGAATCAGAATTTAGTAGCCATTATAATGCAGAGTAATCAGTAACAATTGTAAATTTACTTTCAAATATATAATGTTTGAACTATTTTACTGTTCAGACTATAGCTAAACATTCTTGTTCTGTTGTACTATAATTCTTTTCTGCTGGGCTTAAAGATCTGCTTGCATAAATAATAATATGTTCTTTTTCATTATCTCCTTTTTGAGACTGATGCTGTGATCAATTTTTCTTTTAATACATCAAATATTCATTAACGTTCATTTGACCATTGATATAAAGTTTTCTTTTCTGTTAATTTATAGAACGGTGATAATATTTTAGAAAAGTCCTTTATAAATCTTTTATAATATGAAGCTAAACTAAGAAAGACACGCAATTCTGTAAGATTTCTTGATACCAGATAGTTAACAACTTTTGTTATTTTTAATGGGTCAGGTTGTATACCCTGTTCATTAACAATATGTCCTAAAAATTTGATCTTCTGAGAACAAAAGTGACATTTATTAGGTTTAATTCTTAAATTGGAATCTCTAATTCTATAAAAAGTAATTTGTAAATGTTGTAAATGTTCTTCAAGAATTTTGGAATAGATATTAAAATCGTCCATATAGACTTTGATGAAATGCCGCTTCTCCTTTTGAAATATTGTATTTATAGTTCGCTGAAAAGTTGTTAATGCATTGCATAATCCAAAGGATATTACGACAAATTCATATAAACCTTCACTGGTGATAAAAGCTGTCTTTTCAACATCTTCTGATCTTATTTTAATTTGCCAGAATCCTAAAACAAATCTAATGAACTAAACCAACGTGATCCTTGTAATGAATCTAGTAATTCATCAATCCTAAGAAGAGGGTAATTATCCTTTTTGGTAATGTTATTAAGATCCTTATAATTTACACACATTCTCATTTAACCATTTTTCATTTTAATTAAAACTATTGGTGCTGATCAAGGACTATTAGATAGTTATATTACTTCTTGTTGTATCATTTCCTCAATTTTAACAGTGATCTATTCTTTCTCTTTTGGTGATGTTGAATAAACTCTCTTTTTTTATTGGATGAACATTTTCAGTAATAATAGAATGTTGAGCAACATTTGTTTGAGTTAATTCAGATTTGTCATT